GTAGAAGTTATCAAAACACCTTTTCGGATACGGAATATACATATTCTACATGAAAGTGGAAAAATTGATGAATTTGCTAATTATCGACGTGAAGGGTAATGAACGAACTCGGGGATCCGCGCACAAGGGGTGTCCGAAACGTATAGAATTGACGTTCAACTGATATTCCAGGATTCGAGAAAGACGCCCAAGAAGGGTAACGTTCGAGAATCGCTCTCAGGAATAGGCTGCTTCTAGTGGCTTTGTAAACGACGATTTAATGCTATCAGATTCATTCCAAGAGTAATTTCATCGGCCGTCAACGACAGAGGGACCGCGTGGCAAATTGGTCAACGCGAATAATTGACGCATTAATTGAATTTTGTAAACAAGCGTTGATGGACGGGAGCGATATGGCCGGCCGAGCTCCGGCAAAAACACACCCATTCCCTGGGGACAACCCTTTTACTGAACTAGGCCAGTTGTTCACTTCTCGACTTGAACATCCACAGCCAACGATCGAACCTAATGGAAAGGTACACCAGCTCTTCAGATGGAGGACATGACTTGGTTCTAATCGTAGATTGGAGTCCCTTCTAGGCTGTTGACGACAGGGTGCACGCCACCTTCGAGGATTCTAATCCCTGCCCTGTGCGAGGTGAACTCCTCCGCAACTACAGGAAATATTCCACTTTTCTCTTTCGGAAAAAGTCGAAACGAGGTCGGAGAGTGGTATTGGCCAGATATCGTTTTGAATTCCACCCACAGGCAGAGGATGCATGCGCAACGTGCCGCACGATCAGGCACACATCCAACTACAGGGGGAGGGGGCAAAAAAAGTCACTTTTCTTCATTGACTTTCGAGACGCTATAAGGTACACTTCATTAGATCCTGATCGTTTTTACCCATATTGAAGAGCATATAATTGATCTAAAAACGTGTGGAATCAGGTAAAAGGTATAAAAATTTGAGGGTTCTGAAGATAAGGAGAGGCTGGCTTTTCCTCCATGGAGCCGAGATGGGGCGAAGGTTCAATATGCTTTATTAGAATTTTCGGCGCAGTTCGGCGAGGGGGAGGGAGGCATTTTGCAGTTCGCTGCTTCACTAGTTGTGTTAAGGTGATGTAGTGGCAAAAATCAACTCGTCTCGAGTGCTATGCGGGCCCGAGCCAGCCCCGCGTACAGTAAAACGTAAGAAGAGGGTTCTTGCTGGACCACAATTTCTTTTTCTTATCCGTGATGTGCTCTGGTCTGGCGACAAAATAGCATATAGTAGCAATAGCAAACATTAATGAAGCGGATTAGATTTTTCTTCCCGAATACCACATGTCAAGCAGAATGGGTTCTTGTGTCATGGCCTCTACCCTTTTTGGCTTCTTTGGTAGATCGGTATGATTTCCCGCTCCCCGATTCCGCCCCCCCCCCAAACACTAGGTTTTTTCAGACTAGACGCCCTCCCCCAAACGCTTTGGCTAAGAACTGTTAGGAGCCTGAGATTGGGACCGTCAAGAAACATGGTTTTGGGTTTTGTGACGACCCGCCGCTTCACGATTCCCCATGCGTTTCTATATTAACTGCAGAGCGGCGTTTTCAACTTGTTGAATTAAATAAATTGTTTATACAGCAAATAATGTGGAATTACATTCGCAAAATATCCACTTCAACCCGGTAGGTAAGAGAAAATTGTAGGCCTCGAAGAAAAACTAGAAATAGGTTACACTAAATACAAGCATATTAAAACTCTTGAAATCGGTAAAAAAGAGCTCATGAACGCTATCGGATAGCCATGCAACTACTGATAAGTTTGTTCAGGTCTGAAACCGGGGTAACAACAAAATCAGTTCAAACGTGCCTGGTCGGCAGCATGCCCAGGTCGAGAATGCGAAGCAAACCTCGATCGGCTGGGCCCAAGCACGCGAATGTGTCTGAAATAACAGCCTATTGATTCTGAACAGCCATATTTCATTTTTTGTAGACCATTCGCTATTTGCTTTTGTTCGACTGTGGAAGAAAAATGTAAGATATTCCCTGAACCATGGCGGAGTAAAGTTTGAGGCACAACGAATGTCATTTTGCTCCATAGGATAGCGCCAGTTCACGCATAACTAGTTTAAAGTAAAACAGTTTTTGAACGAGTGCTGGTTGGTTGAGGGGGGCCTTCTTCTGTTCAAGTGCTGGGTGGTTTTGTGAAGATCTGTGAGCTATTGTAATTGTTATTAAAAAATAGCATGAGCTTTAGTGTTGCGAACGCGTCTGGGAGGACATTCCCGCCAATTAAGTGTAAACGGAGAGCACGGAGTGCTCAGTCATGGGACACTGCCCAATTGAAAAACTCATCAGTAGAGAAGAAGCGGGGAAAAAAAGTTTGGGAACACCCTGAGCACAAAGCCCCCCCCGCCCCGCCCCCTACAGCGCTTGACGAGTCATCATGAGGACAAGCCCAATCAACAGGATTCTATTATAAGTGCAACCGATTCCCGCAAGAGCATAGGAAATGACTCTACGAAGCTACAAGCAACGTTACGTACACCCGCAGTTCCGCTTGTAAACAGTTGTCTTGCAGTGTTACAGAAGGCGGTTGCACCGGTTGCAAAACTCACGCGTCTCTAGCTTCTTTATCATGCCGTTTCGAGTGGCGAAATTGGTATATTCTCTGCGAATGCGGACAACTATGCCAAATGCACAGAGGCATTTCGCTGGTCCCTTGATCGCGTGAAGTGCCTTCTAAGGCAACGGTACCATTGTTGGAGGCGAGCTGTTGTTGCCAGCGTCATCGGCTGCTAGAGAGCGTTTTGCCACACCTCACTTTACCCTTCCACCAATGACGTTGGCGACGACCGTCTGCCCTCAGCAGTCGTGTCCGTTGCCTTTAAAGCTGTGAAAAACGAACCTTATGTGGGTGTCGCGACCATTTTGGTGGTTATGCACCACTTGAATCTGCACCACCATAGCCCGAGATGGCCTATTCGTTCGGCGGGATATCGCAGGATCGATGAGCTATAAAAGATAACGGTCATGAAAAGAGTTACCAAGTCTCAAAGTTCAGTAAACATGAAAAAACTTTGATATAATGCAATCAGTATTTCGAAGAAATAGTATGACGCACCTGCCAACCAGTTGGTTCATTAAACTCCACAGGTAAGCCATCATCAAGATGCATCAAGGACGATCCCAGATAAACGACTATCCTGAGATTAAGACAAGTGGTGTAAACGAATAATAAATCTTGATTGTGGGGCAGGAAATCGATGTGGGCAGCGCGCGCGTTCAGCACGATTTATGCGCGGGCACTCATAGCATGGACCGATATTCCGATTCGAGCTATTGTAAGCCTAGTCAACTAGCTCGGCCATGTAGCACGTATTGGGATAGCTTTTTCTGTGCTGTGGGATTTGATCGGCACTCGCGAACCTCAAAAACAGTACAAACTCACTTGCCTTGCTTGTGTGTGTAGGATTCATCATTTTTGAAGTCAAGGTACATCATAACGAAGCAGATATCGGTTTTCCGTGGAAATTCTATCGTAACAGTGTGGGGTTGAGGTCCATCACTTTGCCAGTACTTCTCGACACTGTCATGAAGCAGCTCGTGAATGCCATTACCTTCTGAAACAACAACTGAAACTTTATTCATAGCCGAGTTGGTGGCCATAAAAATGTCATTTTTGCAAACCGCCAGATGGTAGCAGTGATCTCATTCACAACAACCATAAAATGGCGAAAAAATGCGCACATCGCATAAATTGACCTTATCAAAAAACATAAGAAACACAAGACCTGCTCTGAGCGAATGACACACGACTTGCCCCATTCTTATAAATTTCGTGCAAGTTGCCCCGCAGAATACAGTCATCTGGCCTAAGTCATCGCTACTTTCTTGAAAAAACCCTTTTTTTCTGTGCGTATATAAAGCTCACAGCGTACACAAGTGCATCTTTTGCTGTGGTATACAGCCCACGTTCGCCGCAAATGCTCTTATTTAACCTGTGTTCTTCGAGCGAGAATAACAACTGGAAAACATTTCAGAAAATCAGAAATTACAAAAAAGCTAAAAAGCTGTTCCTGTGTTCAAAACTTGCACGCTCGTTATCGCTCGAATCTCCGCGGGGATGAAAGTATACTCTAGTTCGCTGCAGGCGAAGGGGCGTGTCAAGCAGTATGAGTGTGCTTCGGCGCCAAACAGTTTTCCGCCGGTTGTTAAGTGAGTATGCGACAACAAATAGTAGAAAACGAGTAATACGAACAATATGATACAGTCTTGTCACTTGCTCGCTTCAACAACTGGTGGAGAACGGGTTTGGCACCGCGCCAAATTCATCCCATTTGACACGCCCCTTTGTCCGCAGTGAACTAGACCATAAATGAGCTCCATACTTCTACAAATATAGTATTATTCCACCCTATCGATGGAGCCAGGCCAACCACTGCGCCTTCTTTCTTGCCTCTAAGACGGTAAAGGGATAAGCGCGCCTTTGAGTAGGGCAGGCCTGGTTCAGCCCACATGTCCGAGTGGAATGCATCTTCAGTCAGGATGTCCTTAGGTCCACTATCTCAGAAATTTGTTGATAACGTAGAAACCCAAGTTGTCGCCATCTCACCTGTGCCAGGAAAAGGACCATATACCACTTGTTCTGGCCAAAACACTTCGACTCACGATAAGAACAAGCACATGTCGGAAAGTACGGCACTTCTATTCCAGTGCCGCTTTCGCAGCAATTCCACTCGGACCTCGCTTCTACCATGAACTGCATGAACTCCACACATCAAGTTCAGAAGCGATAACTTCTGAGGGAAAGAATTGTGAAGCGATTCACCCCCCAACCGAATGGGTTGGCTGCAAACGAAGAATGTCATGGAGAAATATTTCAGTGGACCACAGTGCACCGCTTTATTGAACGCCTGCCTCTGTTCTACAGCTAATAATGAGCTGTCAAACCTCGCAACTAATCTAACAGCGTTCATACATACTGCGTTCATACTTTGCGCCAGTGTTTTGAGCGCGAGCGTTTCGGGGAAACATTTAAAACGCTGGATCCATATCTATAATTGCCTAATCGCTCAAAACGCTAAGATGCTCGAGCGCTACGCAGTACGCTAAAAGTGCCG